AAAGTTTTTTTTTTTCAACCGTTTAGAAAAATCGTTATGTGGATTACCAGATGAGTGACGTTAAACAGAGGATCAACGGTACCATCCACACGCACGTTACGTACAATAAGCGAACCATATCTGCGCGATTCTCCTACTGACCTAAAACGCAAATAATAAGTCACTTGAACTGACAACAAATTGGCAATTCAAGCACTACTCGATGGATCTCATTGGAAGTCGTAATTCAGTTCGATTCCAAAGGCGGCGCCGTTCGGCTTGGAAGGGGTATTCTGCACGTTCGCTGGTTCATTTTGTTAGTTCCTGCCAAATTAGACGTCACACCTTGATGAGACGTAGATATAGACTCTTGATAGCTGTAAACGAAGCTCCGACAAAGCTTTACAGGAACCTACAGGTCCCCACAGAGGAATTTGGCAATGATCGATAAGCGCCAGCACACTGCCCCTCCAACCCGAACCGCGTCCGCGCGATGCGATAACGGTTTTGAAAAATATGGTGAGTAGAAACCACTCAAACGCAAGCAAATTTTACCTTGGCCAATAATATTGGCAGTGAGGTGAAGGGGAACGATCTAAAGGTCCCAGTGAATGCTTATCCATCGCGCTACACAGCATTATAATGAACCGTGATTGCTCTTGATAAACCTGAAAGTCATCACTAGAGCGAAAAGCCATTTGAATTCGAAGGATCGGTGCCAACGTGGTTGGGGGGGGGGGTGCGGGAACCACTTAGTCGCGCAGGACTAGGATATCCCTTCCCAAAAAAGTTTGAGAGTAAGAACGCAGATGATACAACCGCCAAGGCGTAGTCCTGTTGAGAAGACGTAGTCCTCACTAGGCCTGAGCCCTCTCTAGGGGAAGGGACATGGATGTGCTGGCCAGGTCTCCCTTCCCTCCCCCCGCCCAACCACATAAGCGCTGATTGCTTGAAAATAACCCACAAAAATCATGATACTTTCTTATTCTTAGTATGCCAAAAAATATTACCATTCTCCAGAAATCTGCCTGGGTATTTTGTAACGGTGCTTGAGTGCATATGAAAGTGTTCAATAACGGTCCACCACGAACGTAATTTGCATGTATGAAATCCGGAGTGCCACTAAAAATGACTGTTTTCTGGAAGATTATGCTGAATTGAATTCATTAAAAAACCATCATGAGAAAACTAGATTGCTTTGCTGCAAGTTTCTAATCTCAATTCCATTCAGGCCGCGTCCATACTTAACGAATAATAAGGGTCCGCGATTCGGGAAAATGCGCACAAACAAACGTACGTATTGATCCGGCGAATACTCGAATCTGGGAAAGGTGCAAAGGATCGTGAGGGTATTGATTGACCATGCCAACCAGCGAGGCGCGCTTTCCCCATTACCGGATTTTCCAAAATCGTTAAGTTTTCACCTTTTCAGGACACGAAGGCAATCTCAGGAGCTGAGTACGTATCAGGCTATCTGTGAACCACGAAGCCTCCCTTGTTCTTCTTTCTTCCATTTTTAGAACCGTAATGCTTACTGAAAGCGATGTAGGCTATACAATGACGTGCGAGGGCCAGCCGATGTACTGTCCTTTTCCTTCCAGACAAATCTGGTAGCGATTTACCGTCCCCGGAGGGTAGAAGGCTTAGTAGGCCCGAGCGGAAGCCGATGCGGGTTTTCGACCGCGCATGTGGTAACTGCCAATTACTTGCCTGTACACCAACCTGCGCCCCATAACTGTCAGAAAACGGGAAGAAAACATACTATGTTGATTGCTCTCTCGGGACTTCAGTCGTGTGTTCTCCAGCAAAGATCTCTTGGATAAGCTCAGAACGACTCATTTGTGGAGTACTGTCATCTCGTAAACGAACACGAGAAATATCGCAGCACGGGATCACTGAACAAACACTATTTTCCAAAAAAAAACCCAGTACCTTCAAATTCACCCAAATCTCCTCTTCACAAGAAAATAAAAAAGGTAGAAAAAAGTTTAATGTTACATTTGCTCCGAGCTTTAGTGAGATAATTTGCATTGAAAGCAGTCTGTGAAGCCTCTTCAGGGCTTAATTCATTCACGGAAAAGAACGACTCTAAGCGATTGAATTCTGCTGTGAAATCCTACAAAAAATGTTTAAAG